TAACTTTAGTGCGCTAAGGAAAGCATTATCCTTAACCTTTCGCAACAGATATCGCTAATCTGCATCGGTACAAATCTTGTTGCGTGCAGCTTTAAACTTGTTTTCCACTTGTTGTTGGTTTTGAAGAGCTTAACTATATCGTGGACAGTAGAACGACTGCTGTCAACAATTTCAGCAATTTCACGCACGGATTTTCCATCGTTGGAATGCTTAATAACCAACTTTCTGAATTCAATACCGGTTTGGCCTCTTTTCCTAGACATTTTCAAACCACAAATCGTAATTCCAACTATATATATTTAAAAAAAAACTCTCAAGGAATTCCCGTTAGTCAGCCAAACACTCTACTTGAAGTTGGTTGCAATTCTTCGACAGAGTTGCATTTATTTAGAGGATAGCTGCCACTGTCCGAGTTTGACTTGTGCATTGAATTTGCTCTTATTTGATTTTTAGTAGAATATTTTTTAATACTGAATTAATTTATATGTTTTTCTTTTATATTTTGGAACTGAAATAAATAAGTAATTGAAAAAATATTTTACCTTTTTTTCAACTGCTTTGGTTCAAATATTTTTAGGAAGGAACATTTTTTTCTACGGTGTCCGACTTTGGCTTGGAGCCACTGTATGGCTGTCAGGAAACAGTCCGAATAAATTGCATACATTCATACATATGTATGGTAAGGCTTTCCTTTAAAACTGCACTTATTTATAATGCTCATAACTTCGCCATGAAGTTTGTAACCTCTAGAAGATAATGCCAGAGACAATATAAAGTACATACATATATAAATTACGATTTAGCCACATATGTCAAACTTGCTGTATATGCTCTGCTCGGCGACCCACTCTTGCGTGGCGGCGCGATCCTTTTTACCTAGACTAGACCCAATAGATCTACTGAAACAAACTTGGCGAAGGTGAGAGCACTCAAAGCCGTTTGCAACTTCAGTGTGTATGATATTTCGCTTTGTTTGACGAGATCCGAACATTTTAGCTGTAATCGTCAATATTTGAAATGAAAACAGTTGTTTTAAATATGAATTTTTTTTTTAAATCGGCGAAAAAATGGCATTATTAATTTTAACGACTTACGGTCATTGTACGTACATACATATGTATCTATTCAAGGTCTTTCCAATCCTTCTTTAAGCTTTGCAATTTTATGTGTATCAATTTGTTTCGTTTGGGTTTGCTGTTCTTTCAACTTTGTTTGATGGTGGCTGATAGTGGCCCTATCTGAATAATTTATTCGGACAGAAGCGAAGTTTTAAATAATATACTTGTCAAATAAAAAGTGCTCCATACAAGGACTTAACTTTGATCGGTCTGTTTATATGACTTCACTGTAAATACTACTCCAATATCGGTCGAAAAATTTGCGACTTCTTTGTGAAAAAGGACGTGTGCAAAATTACAGATCCATATAGAATTCTTTGCCATTTTTTTTTTGAAGATTATTTCTTTCAAATGTTGGCCTTGGCTAGGTCCAAATAGTGAAATTATCTGCTCAATAAATCCATTGATTGATGCGTTGTTGTTAAAATTTAACTTGCTTACATACTAACCGTGCCAGAAATGCGCCTAATTGCTGAAACAAAATTTGGCTTTTCTTGTAGATACATGGAACTTTTCAAGAGTCTATAGAGCGAAGCGATGTCGGTTGCGAAGGTCGAGCGGCTTCGTGCTTTTTTTCTGCTGCCAAACAATGCTGAAGAAAAATAACATGACTCTCGTGGGTGCTGTCAAAAAAAGGCCAATTGAAAAACGTACCTCTATTTGGATCATACGTTACACACACATTATAAGGCTTCGGACGTTTGCTTTTGTATGTTGCAAACACCCTGGCAAACTTAATACACCATGTTCATGTTTACAAAAATACGGCAATGGCAGCAGTTTTTCAAATGTGTCTCGGGAAGAGAGGGAATGCTACGATGCCACTTGCTGATGTATCATCCGAAATCGGAAAAGGTTCATTCGTTAGATAATGGGTTTTTTAGGTAGAACCCAGATGATTTTTCGAAACTCCAAATTTGTGTGTTTTATAGAATACTTTGCAGGACAAAACTCGATTCTTAGCGAAGAAATCGGCTACTTTTTTACTGTAAAAAAATCATAACAAATTTGAAAGTAACTCTCTGACCTTATTTTATAAATTTTGTACAGAACATGTCATAAAAATTACAAAAGAATTGGTGCAGTACAGCACCGCCAGTTTTTCCGGGTTTGTCCGATTTTAAAGCCCGAATTTATGCCTGGATATTATGACTTCCCCGAATTTTTCCGAACTTTGAACGTATCATGCTATAAGATCTAACTTTTATTATTCATATTATAAATCTTTGTAAACCATCAAGTTTCAGTGGCAATTTTTGATAAGTACAGCTCTATCACAAGCTTCTAGAACAAATGTTCTTTATACGCGAATGGAAGACAACTTTTTAATAGGATCTTCCTGCTATTTAAAAGTGGCTTACTATATGTCGATAAAACTAATGCAGAGTTTATAGAATATAACGGAATGAATAAAGAGAATAAAGCTTATGCGAGATGTGTATGTTAGGCTAAAAGTAACCGTAGATTTGAAGTGTCTTGTAACAGGTCAGCAATTTTCTGTCATAAACCAAGCAATCGATTATTTCCATGCACAAGGAAAATCAATCGTCAAGAATTGGCATGCTAAGTTTAGTCATAGTGAAATGAGCACCGAAGACGGTGTTATCGACAAAGACATAAAAAAGGCCGCAAAATAATTTTTTATGACCGTAAAATAAAGTTGTTTGAGCTAGCAGGCAGTCTAAAGATATCAACTGAACGTATATAGTAGATCATATCATTCGCGAATATTTGGGTAAGAGAAAGCTCTCTGCATAGTGGATGCCTGATTCGTTGCGGATATGTTCAAGCGTAATAAAACTGATATGTGACAATGGATGAAACATTGCTCCCTCATTTCACTTCGAAGTCCAATCGACAGTAATCCGCTCCAAAGCGTGGAAAAACATGTCGACAATACTATGGTATAGCATAAAAATGTAATGATAGGAAGATTAAGGCAAGGCATGCATCTTTCAAAAACTGGAACTAAAATACAGTGGAGTTGAAAATTTAAAATGTAAAGTCTAGTAATATTTATGCCGAATTTCATGAAGATATCTCTTAAAAAGAGAAATAGTATATTTTGAGGCGAAAAGGACGTTTGCAAAATTTCCGATCGAGATCTCAAAAACTGACAGACCGAACTACATAGCTCAATCGACACAGCCCGCCATGTTGACAATATCTTTATAAATAACAAGTAAGCAAGGGCTAAGTTCGGGTGTCACCGAACATTTTATACTCTCGCATGATAAAGTGATAATCGGGATTTCATTATCCGTCATTTACATATTTTTTTATTTTGCTGTAAAATTAATTAGATTAGGTTAGGTTAGATTATGCACTGAGTTCTTCGTGTTCGATATCAGGGGCCTTGAAAAACTATGGTCCGATCGCGACAATTTTTCCACAAGAGATACCTCAGCTCAAATACCGTATTTGTGTAAAGTTTAATTCCGCTATCATCATTGGTTCCTAATGTATATATTATATAGAGAAGGCATCAGATGGAATTCAAATAGTGTTATATTGGAAGAAGGCGTGGTTGTGAATCGATTTCACCCATATTTCGTACATGTCATGAGGGTGTTAAGAAAATATTATATACCGAATTTCATTGAAATCGGTTGAGTACTTCCTGAGATATGGTTATTGGTCCATAAGTGGGCGTCGCCACGCCCATTTTAAATTTAAAAAAAAAGTCTGGGTGCAGCTTCCTTCTGCCATTTCTTCCGTTAAATTTAGTGTTTCTGACGTTTTTTGTTRGTCGGTTAACGCACTTTTAGTGATTTTCAAYATAACCTTTGTATGGGAGGTGGGCGTGGTTATTATCCGATTTCTTCCATTTTTGAACTGTATATGGAAATGYCTGAAGGAAAYGACTCTATGGAGTTTGGTTGACATAGCTATAGTAGTTTCCGAGATATGTACAAAAAACTTAGTAGGGGGCGGGGCCACGCCCACTTTCCCAAAAAAATTACGACCAAATATCTCCTTAATGCGATTCTTTGTGCTAAATTTCATTTCCTTAATTTCTTTATTTATGGCTTAGTTATGACAATTTATAGGTTTTCGGTTTTCGCCATTTTGTGGGCGTGGCAGTAGGCCGATTTTGCCCATCTTCGAATTTAACGTTTTTATGGAGCCAAGAAATACGTGTACCAAGTTTTATCATGATATCTCAATTTTTACTCAAGTTGCAGCTTGCACGGACGGACGGACGGATAGACAGACATCCGGATTTCAACTCTACTCGTCACCCTGATCACTTTGGTATGTATAAGCCTATATCTGACTGTTTTAGTTTTAGGACTTACAAACAACCGTTAGTGAACAAAACTCTAATACTCTCCTTAACAACTTTGTTGCGAGAGTATAAAAATCACGCGATTTTAGTGAAAGCCTTAACTTCGTTATTTTTTACGATGATGCCCGGATCCACTAGTTTATATATATTTTTTACAGAGTCTCTGGCGTTTACTTCCAGGTCTTACAAGCTTCTAGACAAATTTAATACACCCTGTCAATGGTATACTAATAGGGTCGATAAATTCATCTTTTTTAGAGTTTTTCGAAATTTGGTCCAGCAAATGTTGAATTTTCATAATTTATTTTCTAAAATCAGCCAGTTCGACAGAAGATATTCGGTTATATTTTTTGCTTTGCGGTGAATGTTTTTTGATTTTTGGTTTGTATTTACCAAGCAAAAAATGTTTTGTAATAAAAAGAGTTGAAAATTTTTTTCAATACGCAGATTAAAGAGTTATTTGCAAAATTCAATTACACAGGTGTGCGCATTTTCAAATATTTACAGAATATGTCTGAATTGAAAATTTTTTGGGAAGAAATTGAGTATAAAAGCACTGTCATTGAAATCAAATTCACACAAGTTCCTAGGGATCGTATATCTGGGTATACCATATTAAGAACGAAATGGCGAAGTTATCTACGTTCCTGTATATTGCCGTTTTGGCCATGACATTTTTTGCTTTAGTTAACTGTACTGAAAACGATAAAGGCGAAACTAAAAATCAGGACCAGTCCGCTGGTAGTCCAACAAGCTCTGGTAACGCAACAGTCGGCAATAATCCCACTGGTAATCCAACAAGCTCCGGTAACGCAACAGTCGGCAATAATCCCACTGGTAATCCAACAAGCTCNGGCAATAATCCCACTGGTAATCCAACAAGCTCCGGTAACGCAACAGTCGGCAATAATCCCACTGGTAATCCAACAAGCTCCGGTAACGCAACAGTTGCTAATAATCCCACTGGTAATTCAACAAGCTCTGATAACGCAGCAGCTGACCCATCAGCTAGTGAAGAAGTTGGCAATGGATGTGGACGTCGTAGAAGAACAGGAATAGAAATTATTTTAGATGAGTTATTTTATGAATGGCTTGGACCGAAGGGACAAATAAAATGTGGCAAGCCTGGAAGGGGTAGAGGTAAAGGCAGTAGCGATGAAGAAGAGAAAAAGGCAGAGAAAGAAGGAAAGAATGAAGGAAATAATAAAGGAAAGAATGGAGGAAAGAATGAAGGAAAGAATGAAGGAAATAATGAAGGAAAGAATGAAGGAAAGAATGAAGGAAAGAAAGGAAAAAAGCGCGATGACTAAAAGCAGAAAGCTCCGTAGACGCCCAAACCAAAGTCATAATGAATGTCCGACACAGTGCAATGAAAAGGAGCCCGCCAACGATAAAAGACGATTTCTAAGTATTTTCAATATGTATTTTTTAAAAGATTATCTTCAATCTTTTCACATTCAATGTACCTCAAAATAATTATTCTAATAAATTGTAAAATAAGCAGCATAAAATAATTGTAGCTTAGCTTGCTTTTGTTAACGGTATTAATCCGGTGATAGCTACATGCCACAAATAGAACACGAAAGTAACGGGCGAGCTCCACGGCCGAACAATTCATTTGATTTAGGAAACAGCCTATTTCAAAGAGCCTGCAAATAATTCACAGTGTAATTCTATTTTAACATAGTTGCCTTTCTTGACAGCTTTTTTAAAAATTTTACGTATACAAAAATTAACTCTGAAGGTTGCCACCTGTAGGAAAATCATCCACAGAATAATTATAGGATATTGAAACCTTACAAACTTAAGAGATTCTTCTTCTTATTATTACGCGATTATAGCCGAGTTAACAACCGCGCCCCAGTCGTTTCTTCTTTTCGCTACGTGGCGCCAATTAGATATTCCAAGCGAAGCCAGTTCCTTCTCCACTTGCTCCTTAAAACGGAGTGGAGGTCTTCCTCTTCTTCTGCTTCCCCCGGCGGTTACTGCGTCGAATACTTTCAGAGGTGGAGTGTTTTCGTCCACCCGCACAACATGACCTAGCCAGCGTAGCCGCTGTCTTTTAATTCGCTGAACTATGCCAATGTCGTCGTATATCTCTTACAGCTCATTGTTCCATCGAATGCGATATTCGCCATGGCCAACACGCAAAGGACCATAAATCTTTCTTTCGCAGAACTTTTCTCTCGAAAACTCGCAACGTTGACTCATCAGTTGTTGTCATCGTCCAAGCTAAAAATTATATACTAAAAGATAAGTATATATTAAAAATACGTGTCCCGTTGTTTTTCCGCGATGGACTTCTAAACTATTCAACCGATTTTAGTAAAATTTCCAGTTTGAACCTACTTAAAAGATTGGATAGTTAAGACAACGAAGAGTTTTAAGGAAAAGATGAGGTAAAAGTATTTTTTAAAGAAGACTATGTTGCTTCTGAGCTGATAGTGGTAAAAGTTCATCTGCGATATCATTGCGGAATGTCAATAGGCTCTGAATCTCCAGGTTTAGATTATTGGCGGAATTTGTGCTGGTTCCGAGATATTATGTCCTTAATGTTTGCAAATCTTTCAAATAACTTTTTCAAAAATCTAGATGTTAGGTATCTTTGTATGTGGCTTCCTGGTACTTTGTCTTTCCGTTGTTCTCACAAGACAAACTCCTTTCATTTTCCCAACGGACCTGTTATTAAGGCCTACGATATTAAGAAGACTGAAGACGATAGTTAGCGCACACTGAGTGATCTGCTTTATTGTGGATAGGACAAAGTATATTCGTATTCTAATCATTGAGCATGTTTTAATTCTGTCAAATCATGCTGTTCAGCTGGAACATGCGCCTCTCCAACATATCACTGCTGGCTTTAAATAGCTCAGCCGGTAATCCATTAGTCCCTGTGTTGGTGTTTGTCGATCCTCTTTTCATAGATCTTTTCCAAGATGTGGCGCATGATGAATATCTGGTCAGTTGTTGATTATCCAGGTGTAAAGCCACACTGATAAGGTCCAATTGTTTTGTTGACGGTGGGCTTTAATCTTTCACACAATAGGCTCGATAGGACCTTATATGCGATTTTGAGAAGGCTTATTCGAACTTATTCATGATCGGGCAATGGAACGTTCGCTCCATCCTCATCGATTGGGGTATCGGGTTCACCATCTCCTGGTGTTATGCTTTCACTACCACTCAGCAGGCTGGAGAAGTGTTCCTTCCATAACTTCAGTATGCTCTGGGCATCAGTAACTAGATCTCTTCCGGCGATTCTACAAAAGTATGCTCCGGACCTGAAAACTTCTGTTAGTAGCCTCATCTTTCGTAGAATTTTCGATCATTACCACTGTCGGCCAGTTTGTCAAGCTCTTTGTACTAACGCATTTCAGCTTCTCTCGCTTTTTGTCAGCAAATGCGTCAGGGAGCCAAAAAACTGAAAAAATCGCGTAAGCGAGAAATGTTCTGCGAATTATTCTGAACAGCTTTGAGCTATGACTATGGGCACCTCGTTTTGAGCCAGTGATTTTTAAGGTGAAGTTTCTTAGAGATCATAAAAATTTGTTTGTCAGTTCCGAATATCCTATTGATCATTTATTTGTCAGTACGTCAGATCGGGCAACAAAAAAAAATCAACCCGCTCTAATACTTGTATACATACATAGTCGCAAGACGAAGTAAACCAAGGATATGGTAGCTTTGTATTCTTTGAGCATAAAATATTTGATTTATTTGTACATATGTAAGTTAAGTGTTAATTGATACTGATTTACATTTGATATGTAACAGAAATATATTTCAATTTCTCTTTATAGATAACTACATTAAACTAGTGTTTGAAATACATCGGTATATACTTATATAAGATATCTAAAGATATTTACGCCTACAATACGATACTTTTTGTACTAATCTGACCTAATTTTTTTGCATTCTTTGTAAATTTTTTAGCTGGTGCAACTTTAAAAACAAGAAAAACTAAAAAAGGTTGCCACATTAATGAAAATTAAAATATTAAATAAAGGGAAGCGATTGTGTTATTTATGAAGTTTGAAAGAAGAGAAAACATTAACGTTGCCACTTGATTTTTTTTTAAATATAAATAAATTATTATTTGCAAATTTTCATACACAATTGATTTTAAAATCAAAGCCGTTTTGAAAAAGAACTAAGTTATTCTTATGAACGGTGTTGCCACTTTTCTTGGATTCTAAAAAATGCATAAATAAAAAAATTATCTTCGTTATTTCGTGATTATGTAATGACATTTCTTGAATATGTTTTAGTAGTATGAAATTATGATGTTGCCACCTGATTTTAAATATAAATAAATTATTATTTGCAAWTTTTCATACACAATTGATTTTAAAATCAAAGCTGTTTTGTAAAAAACTCAGTTATATTTTTGAACGGTGTTGCCACTTTTCTTAAATTCTAAAATATGGCTAAATTAAAAAACGAAGTGCAAATGCGATTATAATAGGTTGTCAAAAAAGTCTTGCGGTATTTTTTACTTATTTTATTTTGATTTTATAACGGTTTGATGACTCATGCCCAGCTCTTGACCGATGCTAGGGCTGCTACTATGCCGGTCTCTTTCGACCAATTCAGCGATTTTATTGCAATTTTCGACGACAGGCCTTCCGGAGCGTGGCGCATCTTCGACCACCTCTACACCRGAACGAAAACATTGAAACCATCGTTGTGCGGTGGAAATGGAAACTGTATCGGGTCCATGAACTGCAAAAATTTTATTGGCGGTTTGAGCTGCATTTTTGCCTTTATCGTAGTAGTACTGTAAAATATGCCTTATTTTCTCTTTATTTTGCTCCATGTTTGCGACGCTACAACTCCAGAACGACTAAAAGAAACGACAATCAATCAAACACGCGTGAAATGAGTTTTCCAAAAAGGTATAGCATGACCCGTTGCGACGAATAAAACTAGAACTACGCGCTCTCAGCGAAAACTAGCGATAATACCGCAAGACTTTTTTGACAACCTAATATAAAAAGATTTCTTGAAAAATATTTAGTATGAATTTATGTAGTTACCACATTTAATAAATATGTATATACGCTAGCGCACTAACAAAACTTTTAAAAAATATATATTATTATTATTACTAATTAAAAAAAAAATTTAACCAATTAATAAAAAAAATTTTTAAAACAATTAAAAAAATAATAATTTTAATACGTACTATTAAAATATTTAGCGTTGCCACCAGCTTACAAATAAAAATAAATATTTTTATATTAATAAGAGTTAATAATACTTTATCTCGTCTCGTTTCCTTCACGATATCATTTGGCGTAATTTTCTATCTGTTCGTTTGCTTTAAGCAATTTGCATTCACTGGTAATCAGGTATATTGTATGTATGTATAATTAGGTACTCATATATTTTTAGTAAATAAGTTGAGATAATTGCTGAAAGTTTCGTTGTTCTGTTGCTCCTTCGATACCGGTCATCTTCCTTACTTTGCTCTGTATTCATGTTTTAAGTGCGTCCTGGTGCACTGGGTACATATTTTTCGGATGGTTGATATTGCCACTGAGCGCAAATAGTATCCTGTTCCGTTTTATTATAACCGGCCCTAGAAAAAATGAAAGAAATTATAACACCAAATGATAATTTAGAGAGTTCATAGGCTTATATAAGCAATTATTTGATCTAGCGAGCCCACTGTCAAGGACAAGCAACAGAATACCACTTACTATTTTCCTATAGATTTCACCTGGGAGGGACGAGTGAATTATATGGGCAGTCCATTAAAATTGCAAGAGGTGCTGAAAGTTTCTGGTCATTTCCTTCGATTTAGATTCAAATTTATAAGTTACCAAAGTTGGAAGTAAAAATTGTTATGTAATTGAGTTCTAAAACTGTTTTGCATGAGAACCTCGTCGAAACTCTGATCTTTGTAAATAAATATTGTTTACTAATGGATTATGTTTGAGAAAAAGACTTTTGAATGTTGGCTTTGCTTGAGGCAAGACCAGAAATTATAACATAAAAGCTAGAACAGCTGTAACCTCTTCCAGCCCACCTCTTCGTGCGGTTGTTTCAACTCAAACTTTTCCAATTGCTCAGTGTCTTATTGCTGCAAGTTCTGACCAGCACTATGGAGGAAGAAAAAGTGGTCATCCAGCGAAAGCTGTTTACACGTGGACAGAAGAAATACGAAATCTGAGACGACTGCTATCTTGTTGGCTATGCAGACGACATGGCCACCGTCATAACAGAGCGAAATACTGAAATAGCCGACGCAAACTCAGACAAGTTATGCTGCGAACACGGATATGGTTAAAATCACATGGTTTTCATCTAGCCGCGAAAAAAACTGAGCTTACTCACTAGAAAGCATATCTCGCTGGAGGGGAACATGCAAGTTCACTCAGAAACGACGAAACCCCTAAAATGCCTCAGTATAAGAATGGATGAGCGGAAGGATCGTAGTGGGCTCAAACTCAGCACACCGCTGTAAAGTCAGTAAATATAACAATGTCGCTATCAAGACTTATGGCAAATACCGAATCATGGACGCAGGCAGAGCTGTATTTTAGTACCGACATATGGTACATTCAACATGGATGATAGGCGAAAAGTACTCTCCAAGGTACATAGGACAGCAGTCCTGACAGTCGCCTCTGCGGACAGCACCGTATCCAAATCCGCAGTGCGACGGCAACACGCTCTTGCCTTTTTTAAGGCATTTGGCCGTTTTAGTAGTGGAATATTTAAGGAATCCTAATGAAGTGCTTGCGCTTTGGCCCTGTGTCTCCCTCATTCAATGGCATTCTTACCGTGCGATTCTGTACTGAGATGCAGTATCAAGTCTATAAATTTGAGATTTTAAGTTGGAGACAATTTTTGAGACTTGAGACGATTTGCTATTCTGTAAGTGACAGTCTCAAAATCTATTACATTTTATTATTCAAAGATGTTTTTATACTTGAATGAAAATAAATATGTCCATAACAAATATTAAATTTTCAAGAAAATAGTCAAAAAATATAATTATCAATAAAAATAAAAATATATGTCGATTTTGTTTCATAATGTTTACGAAATTTTTGTAAAATTGATTTATTTTTAACCTTTTCGTGTTTGAGTTCCTTACAAAATATAAAAAAAAACGACAATCGATTAATATCTATGATGAACTCTATTCAGTACATTCAAAATCGCAGACAAGCGTTCTTTTTGGTTTTGTGACCTGCTAACTACCAGGTGTCAAATTTGAGGCAATATTTTGAGACTAAAGCTAGAGACTGTTTAGTGAATAGTAACTAATCAAAAATTGAGATTTTACCACAAAATGTTTCAAATAGAGACTAGAGACTGGTTCAAAATTCGAGCCACTAGAAAGTGAGCCAAATTTCTTGATATTGTAGTAACCATTCATGCACGAAATAAGAGAAGAAACTGACACACGAATTGGTCCATCTTGGAAACCTTGCAATGAAGTAATGCGAAAGAGGTCTCGGGGCAAGAGAAAATAGTCCACGGTAGAGGGTAAGAGTAGGATGACGATCCCCGTATGATGCGCAGGCATTTTAGACCCTCTTTATGGTCTAAAAAACAAAAAAAAAACATAACAAAAAATACCTGAACCTATTACCTTCGAACCAAGTGGGGGACTTTCATTTGTAAGTGAATTCATCTTGTATGTTCCGATTCTTAAATGGCTTGGCATTGCTGCTGTCAGTTAAAAAATCTAACTTGAAGTCGTAAGTAGTTCTATTGTTCATGACAAGCTGCATACATCAGAATCTGCACATTTAATTATTTCTAACGCTAGAAATTGCCTGTGCAAATGTGTACTGATTTCTTCTCGTCTTTATATCAGTATTCCTTTCTCAGATGCGTCAACAGTAACCTTCTTTCTTACCAATTGTTTGCTGTCATTTTCTCTTCCCTGTTCTAGTGTCCGAAAGACTAGATGAGAGAGACAGCTATTTACGTCTGGATATCTAGAACTGCTCGCTGATGACGCGAAAAGAGCTCTGTCCAGTAAGATAGAAAAATCACCAAACAAAAGAGTAATTTATAAACTTTTATTAAATAATAATGTTTATATGAAGTTAACACAAAATCTTTAATACTGCTTTCATGTGAAACTAAAAGTAGAAGTCTTAAACTAAAAATATATAATAAAAAAATTATGAATATTTACAAAAGCTGCTTAATGAAGAACTCATAAACCTCTGCAAATAAATAAACTAAATTTTAATTGCACAACTTAAGTCAGTCTTTCGATGTCTCTTCAATAATTCCAAAAATTATTCGGCGATACATTATTTCTTTGATTGTAAAAATAACTGGAACCTGGATTTGGACGATCATAGTAATAACCACGCTCCTCTGCTGAGCGGCCATTACCATTGCCTGTGGGCAGCTCGGAGCTAACGCGGGAATTGAAAGTGTCCCACAGTACACTCGGCCGCTGCACGATCTCGCGCAAAATATTCACTGCGGCCAAACCCACCGAAGCGACTTTTACACCCAAACGCTTGGTGAGCGAATTGAAATTTTGTCTTACAGCCGGAACGCTGTCAGAACGCAGCGCACGACCGTAGTATTCATTACCGTGAGTGGGCCCCGGATAAAAGTAAGGCTTTGGCGGCAAGCCATAGGGGTGTGATAGAATTTTCTCTATAACATTGCCCGCATTGGGCGGCACATACAGATCCGCCTGACGGAATGTAATATCACAGCGATTTGTACGATAAAAGAAATCTTCAAACCTTTGGTGCGCCGAGCATGGACTGCGCTCTTGAAAGCAAGTCACCTGTACCACGTTGTAGAATATTGCGCCCAGCGTGTTAGCCGTTTCTGCGGAGTAAATGAGAAAGTATGAAAATTTTTACGCTCTTAACTTAAAAACTACCACCAACTACCTGTGTTTAACGATTGTAAACATTTGCGCAAACGTGCATCACAGTCGCAATGTGAACGCGTGAAAGTGCCGGTATTGCAGAGACCGCGTCGGCACTCGCCCACATTCAATACGTTCGGACAGTGATCGTGTTCGCGACAGCAGCGATCTTCGGCGACATGCGGACCCAAGTCATTATAATCGTCAGCGGTGGTGCCTGTGGTGTGTACATATTGTAGTTCAACATCATCTGTATGTAAGTTAGTAAAGCCAGAACTCACCTGGTCCACACCATTTCGTGCCGGGATAGATAAAACCCAGTCCTCCACGAAACTCGCGCCCATACGAGCCGGATTTTAAACAAACCTCCTCCAGCTCCATAACCGATTCGCGCGGTACCTGTCGTATGCGTCTGGGATCCGATTGTAGCAGCATACGTTGGATATCACCACTAGGAAATAGTTTATACATAAATTGGGAATTAAGATTCCTTACTTCAAGTAAAGTAACTCACCGATCAGTATGCATTTTGCAGAATGGATGCCGCGAGGAAAGCTCTACCATAACCGACATGGCGTTATCCGAGATCAACACTGCGGAGCTCCTAACACTATTAACAAATATTGTCGCCACCAGCGCAACCGTTAGAACGAGAATGAAGAGCTTCTTTGACATGCTGCAAAAGATAGAGAAGATTTTTTGGTAATTAAGAGTGAAGTTCAAATTTTCTCCATAGCAATCAATAACATGCCTGAGCAGATGGAAGTGACACTTTACGGGTTGTCCAGGTTCAAATAAGAACTGAAGGTTTGACCCAGTCCAAACTGTTCTCTTTCAACATTGTGAGGCCACATATTACACATGGAGCAAGATCTTCTTTTAAATTTATGTGCGCTTTATTTAAGGCAATTGAAGCCTTAAAAATTCTAACTCAACTCTAAACTCTCAAAGCATAGAGTTGAATACCTAAGGAAAGAACCAGAAATAGAGTGTTGTGTACTTAAACTTCGCATTAAGGAAGGGAACATATGGTAAAGGGTTGTATTATGAAATACTAACCAGAAAAACCAATCGTATGAAACTGAAATACGAGCATAAAGTGCCCTTAAAAGCGTTGTTAAAAATTTTCTTGGAAATGTGAAAGCTGTCAATTAGAGAGGTCTTGTGACTGAACTACTTACTACCTATAAAAAAAAATGGGTTGCAACATGTCCCCTAAAATTCACTTTCTGGACTCCCATCTGGATTTTCCTCTAAAATTTAGGGGCCGTAAGTGACGAACATGGGTAACGGTTCCACCAAGCCATTTCTGCTACATATAGAGAAACGGTAACAAGGCAAGTGAAGTGTCAGTTTGCTTGCCGATTACTGTGGGACATTGTTAAGGGTTACCACAAAAACAAAATATCGCCGAAAAATATCGACACTAACATTTTAAGGTACTTTTTGGTTGATAAAATAATATAACAATAATATGTCTATCGCTGTGTTTTTTAACAAAAATACACATAGCAAAAGAACTATAGGTGATAGAAGAAATCTGTAGCTATTTTCTGCATTTGTGGCAATTTTTACGTAATAAATAATTTGTAGACTCATAGTAGGAAATCAAAATACGGATTGCAACATGATCCAGAAGATTTATTTGTATATAATATATTAAAGTGTAATTTCTGTTTAAGTATGAAGAAAACAAAGCTTTTGTCAGTGTTTTAGTTTCAGCAAGACAACGATCCAAAACATACAGTGATGCTAGTCAAAAAATAGTTGTTTTATAAAGCTCAAAAAGAGCTTAAGACTCCACCGCAATCCGCCAAATTGCAAAACATAAAACAATTGTGGGAAAACTGAAATCTAAGTTGAACAAGTAAGGAAGGGCTAAGTTCGGGTGTCACCGAATATTTTATACTCTCGCATGATAAAGTGATAATCGAGATTTCAGGCGTGGTTGTGAATCGATTTCACCCATATTTGGTACATGTACATCAGGGTGTTAAGAAAATATTATATTCCGAATTTCATTGAAATCGGTCGAGTACTTCCTGAGATATGGTTTTTGGTCCATAAGTGGGCGACGCCACGCCCATTTTCAATTTTTAAAAAAAGCCTGGATGCAGCTTCCTTCTGACATTTCTTCCGTAAAATCTAGTGTTTCTGACGTTCTTTGTTAGTCGGTTAACGCACTTTTTGTGATTTTCAACATAACAGGTGGGCGTGGTTAATATCCAATTTCTTCCATTTTTGAACTGTATATGGAAGTGCCTAAAAGAAACGACTCTATACAGTTTGGTTGACATAGCTATAGTAGTTTTTGAGATATGTACAAAAGAGTTAGTAGGTTGCGGGGCCACGCCCACTTTTCCAAAAAAATTACGTCCAGATATGCCCTCCCTAATGCGATCCTTTGTGCCAAATTTCATTTTAATATCTTTATTTATCCCTTAGTTATGACACTTTATAGGTTTGCGGTTTCCGCCAATTTGTGGGCGTGGCAGTGGGCCGATTTTGGCCGAATTTAACCTTCTTATGGAGCCAAGAAATATGTGTACCAAGTTTCATCATGATATCTCAATTTTCACTCAAGTTACAGCTTGCACGGACAGACGGACAGACAGACGGACGGACAGACAGACATCCGGATTTCAACTCTACTCGTCACCCTGATCACTTCGGTATATATGACCCTATGTCTGACTCTTTTAGTTTTAGGACTTACAAACAACCGTTATGTGAACAAAACTATAATGCTCTCTTTAGCAACTTTGTTGCGAGAGTATAAAAATTAGCACCAGAAGGAATTTTAATTCTTTAAACAACTGTTTCTAATTAGCTGTCGCACTTAATTCACCTTCTTTATAGTAACGCATTGACTATTTGGTAAAAAATTAAAAGAACTCTGACTTCACAACTACAAAACAGAGTGAATTTAGTAGTAAATAGAGCAACACGAACAATGCAAAACTTTTAGGAATATAAATAACGGTATATCAACAATTTTTATCATTATACTCATCAACCACCTACAATAAAGGGAGCGTTTCTAATTAGCTGTCGACGGCTGTATGTATAAATTGTGACAAAAAAAGTACCCGGAATTGTATATCTAAAGAATAATTACTGCTGCTGGGAATAATTTGAGCAAAATTCAGTCGAAAGTTTACATCAGAAGATGTATACAAATCAACTAATATACATATACTAGGTTGTCAAAAAAGTCTTGCGGTGTTATTTATTTACTTTTTTTTTATTTTATAACAGTTTGATGACTCATGCCCAGCTGTTCACCGCTGCTACGGCTGCTACTATGCCGGTCTCTTTCGATTTCGATCTTATCGCAATTTTCGGCGGCAGGCCTGCCGGAGCGTGGCGCATCTTCGACCACCTCTACATCAGAACGAATACGAAACCATCGTTGTGCGGTGGAATGGAAACTGTATCGAGTCCATAAACTGCACAAATTTTACTGGCGGCTTGAGATGCATTTTTGCCTTTATCGTAGTAGTACTGTAAAATATGCCGTATTTTCTCTTTATTTTGCTCCATGTTTGCGAAGCTATAACTCACGAACGACTTAAAAGAAACGATAATCAATCAAACACGTGTTGGCGCGTGAAATTAGCTTTCCAAAAAGGTATTGCATGACCCGTTGCGACGAGTAAAACTAGAACTACGCGCTCTCAGCGAAAACTAGCGATAATACCGCAAGACTTTTTTGACAAACATATTATAAAGCTAAGCATGTACATATGTATGTATATATGCATGTATACAGGTATATCTTCAACTGAAATGCAAAATAATGCAACGTCACTTTTCGTAAGTTTACAAAACAGTTATATAATAGAAACCACTCATACTGAAAAAAATTAGTTTTACGAAATGGTTATGTCTAAGAGCGAAAGCTAAGGAGATTTTATTACATACATACATACATATCTATATATATATATATATATATAATATGATTTTGTGAATCGTAAGCAATTTCAAATTCTATTTATTTGATGATATCCTGTTTTGCATTTTAGGTGACGATATATACATACATACATATCTACCATAATCTTAACACTGATGCGTGGTCTTAAGAAGGAACTGCCAGTCAAGTAGCTGCTTAGATAGCTAATGAAAAAAGTTAGCGAATATACATAACTATGTTAACATACAACGAGACTAATTTTATATATTACAAAAACAATAAATAGCAGAAGCAACAACATAAACCCGTTTACGGCTGGCTAGTTAAAAAAGTTTAAGGGCATGTTAGTTGCTTGAATTTTACGGATTTGTTTTTACACCTTACTTAAATGTAGTTAAGCAACTAAGTAAGCATTTTCAAGAACTCATTAGGTTTAATATCTATGTGAGTATTAATGCCCTGTAGGAAATTTATTTTAAAACCAAAGGCTAAATCCTTTGGGCGGAGTATTCGCCCAGTATAAAATTGTCCGATATATATATATATATATACGGAGGTCGCTATATATATTTCTGGCCTAGGCAACACTAAGTGTTCCCAGGTTTTTAGCATAACATCACTCAGAACGTTTTGTCATTTAATGGTGAATTGTTTTATTTTCAGGAAATTAAAAAATTCATCTCGGCCAAAAAATGGAATTAAGTCGTGAACATTTTCGTGCGATCATTTTTCACAACTTTCGACGTGGATTATCACGACAAGAGTGCATCGATGAACTAAAATCTTTGTATGACTATGAAGCACCATCCTACAGCACTGTGAAAAACTGGTACAACGAATTCAATTGTGGCCGACGCTCGCTCAAAGACGAATTCCGTGAAGCTCGTCCAAAAACAGCCGTTGTACCAGAAAACATCGATGCCGTACGTGAACTGATAATGCAAGACCGTCATGTAACATACCTTCAGATAGAGGCATGCCTATGCATTTCTCCCACCAGCATACMTTCGATATTGCATGAACACCTGGCCGTAAAAAAGGTTTGTTCTCGTTGTATCCCGCACAATTTGACAATTGCTCAAAAAAATGCTAGTGTGGATTGATGTAAAGAAATGCTGAAAACGATCGCGGTGCTTCAAGAGATGTTTGTAAGATCGTCACAGGTGACGAATAATGGATCTATGCATATGAGCCCGAAACAAAACAGCAATCGACCGTGTGGATCTTCCAAGACGAGCCAAATCCAACGAAAATTGTTCGTGGAAGAGCACTTCGAAGCAAATGGCCGCCTGTTTCTTCGGCAAAACTGGTCATGTGGCGCCTGTTCCGCTGGAGCAACGTAGGACGGTCAATTCTGAGTGGTACACCACCATTTGTTTGCCTCAAGTCTTCGGAGAAATTCGAAAAACAAACAGAAGACGAATCATCGTGCACCATGACAATGCGAGGAGTCACACATCGGCTCAAACCAGCGCCGACCGGCTAAAACGTCGAATTGATGGGTCATCCGCCGTACAGCCCTGACTTGGCACCCAATGACTTCTTTTTATTCCCACACATCAAGAAAATAATGTGTGGTCAACGATTTTCGTCGTCAGAAGATGCTGTTGAAGTATTCAAAAACAATGTTTTGGAGGTGTCTCAATCGGAGTGGAAAAAGTGCTTCGAAAATTGGTTTGAGCGCAAGCAAAAGTGTATGAATCTTGATGGAGAATAATTTGAAAAACAATAAAACCATTTTCGTAGATAAATTGGCC